CATTCACACGGGCATGTTATTCAGAGATGGAAAGCTGTCTCCGAGAGAAACGTGAAGCTGGAAATAATGATTTGGAAGCCATGACAACTGAAAGAGATAGTAACTAGAAGTTTCCTTCTAACTCTGAGTTGCTGCGATTCAAGTTTAAAATAAAGAGGGGGAATGAAGAGGGAGGAGTAGTAAGAGAGGCCAATCTTGGAATTCTGGTGAATTCTCAGGTTGGGTTCTTTTCAAATCATTTACATAGTGTCTGTATTGGCTCTTAGGGACATTTTGCCCTTGAACAACCTTGGAGAACTCTGAGATAAAGTGCCAGGAGTCATGGAATTCCAAAGGCTTTGTTCTAGGAGTTCATTTAGAACCTTAAGGGTGTCTTCAGGTAATAGCTTTTGGGTGATAGTAAAAAGTTGTTTGGGGGGGGGGGCATCAGATGGCATAATGGTTATATTGTCAACTGTGGTTTGCATACAGGATTCAGTGGCTTAAAACTCATGTTACCACGTGTGCATGTGTGCCCAAAATCCCAAGAGGAGAACGAAGAAGAAGGGATTATGGCATGGCCATCCCCCCTGAGGGGTGACTTCTCACTTCTGCCTCTCTGACAAGTGCATGCGTCCTATAACAAAAATCTCTCTTAAAAAAATAAATAAATAAAATAGTTGTTTGATTGGCTTTGCTCTGTAGGTTCCTGGCACAGTTCTTCTGTAGGTGAATTAGTTGTTTGGCAAATATGAACTCTTCAGTGAAGGGTAGAAAAATACGAACCACAAATCATGTATCACTAAGAAGTCATGCCCATTCAAAGTCTCACACTGGCTTTGCTCTGTAGGTTCCTGGCACAGTTCTTCTGTAGGTGAATTAGTTGTTTGGCAAATATGAACTCTCAGTGAAGGGTAGAAAAATTCGAACCACAAATCATGTGATCACTAAGAAGTCATGCCCATTCAAAGTCTTCATCTCACACTCCTTTCTTCTTTCCTCTCCTCTCTCTCTACCTCCCATCCGTCTAGCCTTTACTGGGTATCTACTATCACCATATGTCAGTGGGAATAAAAATATGAATAAAATACAGTGTGTATCTTCAAGAAAAGGCGGGTAAGAGGACCAGATCCCAAAATAGAAAATTGTGATACACTTTGATAACTTTAATGATGGAGACAATTTTAATAATAATAATAATAATAACTACCATTTATTGCCATCACTCCTATGTGTCAGACATTGTAAGAAACAGGCATTATCTCATTTAATGCTTGCAAAATTCACATATTACAAATGAGGAAACCGAGGCTCTGCAAGAGTAAGTTGCCCGGATGATGAGTGTTAATTCTGGGGAACAAGCAGTTAGCGTAATGGCTATGTCGCTGGACTCCCACATAGTCGACCACGGTTCGCGTCCCGGACCCGGTGGCTTAAAACTCATGCCGGGCATGTGTGCATGCATGCCCAAGATCCCAAGAGGAGAATGGAGGAGAAGGGATTGCAGTGTGACCATCCCCCCGGGGGGTGATTTCTCGCTTTCTGTCTCTATGTCTCTCTCTGTCTGCCTGGCGAGCGCACGCGCCCTATAGCAAAAACCTCTCAAAAAAAAAAAAGTGTTAGTTCTGTGTTTGTTGGATTCTGACGTCTATCTTTGAACTTCTGTGCTTGGAAGTACCAAAGGAGGAGCCCCTAGCTTGGGCAGACAGGAGATTTGGCCTTTGTCTATGGGACTTAAAAATATAGTCTAATCTTTTGTGAATTAAAGAGAGTCAGGCTGACTCTGTAGCACAGTGGTTAAGCACTATACGTAGGGAGCTGGATCTCACATGGCTGACCACTGTCCAATTCCAGCCCTGGTTGCTTGAAAACCACACCATACACATGTATGTGCATGCCCTAATCCTGATGGAATGGAAAAACGCGGGGAAAGGTTTGCAACGTGACTACACCCCTTCCAAGGAGTACTTTCTCCCTTCTCTCTGGTGAACCCACGTACCCTTTGGCAATTAAAAAAAGAAGAGTCAGATGCTGTCAGGTAGGCACACGGCCAGAACACAAACATTGTTATCTTCTCCACTTTCTGGCCCTCACCTTTCTCCCATTTCCCCTATCAATCTAATGAACTTTTATGTGGGAGGACAGATTTGTTTACCTTTTTCTCTCTTTGATTTTTTTTTCTTTTTATTGACCATTTAGGCATCCATTTGCTCATTTAAGGACTATGTGAGGGCAAAGCCCTGTCCAGGCCTCTCTGGGTTCCTCCAAACGCTGATATACATTCCTGGTCTCATGAGCAGCAGCTGAATCAGAAATGGAGACTGCTCTCCATAAGTGAGAATAATGACCAACGGTGACCCCCAGAGCTGGCCAGGGCTTTCATCGATCCCTTAAATTGTATTTCCTTCCATGTCTATTTCTTGCATTGGCATTCATCACGCTGCAGAGGGCCTCAACTGACTCTCCATTATAACCGAATCGTACGGATGGGAGGGTTTGTAGTTAACATTCTCCAACCTCAGATCCTGCACCCCCGGATGACACAGCTCTCCTTTCCTTTGTGGCTATCACCACACAGATCCTGAACTCTCTGGAGGAGCAATGTGCAAAACAAAATAAGGCGACTTCTCAGACTGTGTGAGGACTGAGGACCGTGGGTCACGGGATACTTTGTAAACAGGGTTTATAGGATCTTCCTCTCTGGGAACACACCATCAGCCCTGACTCTAGCCCAGGGCCAGCCACAGACACTGCCAGAACAAGAGGAGTCCCTTCTTCCAGGCAGTCCCAGGAGAGCACATTCAAGGCCCTGTGGGATCCAAGAAGGGTTATTGTGTGGTGATGGGAGAAAGCAGGACTTGATGGAGAAGGCGGTGTTTGGGACTTTGAAGGTTGAACAGAGGGAAGTGGGTGCTTGCTGGGAGTGATGCAATGTTGAACCAGGGAGGTGAGCACGTGGAGTGCCTGCTCAGATAACGGGCAGTCCAGTTGAGATGAGCTGACCCCTGGGTGCTCTCAGATGAACACTTGGAAAAGGGGAGAGGAAAGTAGGCTGGCACAACCACACTCACTGAGTGTCCTCCCAGAGCACTGATCCTCCAGGGACTGTAGAGGAAGGATCCTTACTATTTCTGAGCATTTGTCCCTGGAATTAGTGGATCCCTACCTCAGAGGCCATAACCGTCTTTCTTTAAACTGCTTCTGGAACAGCTTTCAGATCCAGAAAACATATTAGATGAAAATTGTCATTTTATGTCCTCTAATGCCGTGAACCAAGAGACTCTAGCCAATGATTAGGATCCACTGATAGATCTCAAACCCCTTGCCACCTGCCCCCTTATTCCTAGGATCTGCTTTGATGAAATGTTCCTGGATGGGGGGTCTTGGTGGGAAGGATAGGGGTTCCAGACCCTGCGCCTCCAGTGAGAGTTCCCTGCCCCCCAGGAATTGTCAGCAATTGCCAACACTTCAATCTCACCCATCCTCACCTGCACCTTCTGGACCAGC